CGTAAATCGTGTGGGCGATCACAGGCGTGACTAGTCAAAATTTGGGGAGGTTGAAACAAAAATAATTCACAAAAAATGTACATTCTGAAACGAATTTTTCGATCGCTTCGCTATATATAACACCGATTTTCCTCTTATCACGAACCACTCAACATTTACCAAAAACTATTAACGTTTTTAAAAATATTTTTTCACATGGATACCTGGTTGCGAGTAATAAAAAACAATTTGTATATTCTCTGTTTTATCGTTATTTATTTATTTCTAAGTTTTTACTTTAATACATTTTTTTATAAATATTTTCACTAAAATACTATAACCGAAAATTCTGTACGAGTCACTGTCGCTTTAAAAAGACATCCTCAAAAAAGTACTCAGCTAATATTATTATGAATGACACTCTCCTAATCCAGGCTTTGATGAGGCGTTACTATAATAATAGGTGATTTCTTCATCATGTTTGTCGTGCTACGAGTAATTTATTAAATTATCAAATTTTGCCCGGAGACTGTTGTGCAATCTTGTTGTAAATTTGTCTTCTTTTAAGCATTTAAAAAACACTCGATATTTTTAGATCGTAAAGTTTTTTATACACACCCGCCCACCGAGTGTGCCCAAATTAATGATAATAGACATTAAAGTATAATAGTATGATCAGATGCAAACGAGCTACAGTCATTTATGACTATATCGGATCTTATGAGTTGCAACAGTTGCACAAAAATGCAGTTTATGCACTTTTATAATACTATGATATGACTAAGAATACTAATAACATTGTTTCCGCAAAAAATTATACTTACTTAAATCTGAATGCTTGATATCCATTGGGCCAATAATATAGTTATTATATCAGAAAATATCCTAATATTTTATTCGATATCGAAGACACGCGTCGAGATACCTGTACCTACTTAGTCCGCAAAGTCGAATTATTCAATCGATCACAAATGTCACCGAATAACATAGTTTTTTTGTAACTCTTTAAAAACAAAATAATTGTTCTCGCAGTATGTGTGCGGTACCACTTGTACCTACTGTAAAATTTCGAACGAGAAAAGTGAAATTTCCCTCGCACGTCCCGGCGTCGTATTTATGAGATATGTCGAAATCGTTTCTAAAACAAAAATCAATTCGTACAATATTATACGCGGTGTAAGTACATAAAACTTTTTACCGACAAAAAAAAAACGGTTTTTTCGAGTGTAGGGAATTCTAAAGTGAAGAGTAAAAAAAAAAAAAAGGTACACATAAATATATTGCTTTAAAGACGCGGCGTAAGTCGACCGAGTAAAAAAGTGTGTCAAATCGATGGGCCCGTGTGATTTAAACTGTACACGTGTCTTATCGCCTTTCGAGTATTATTATTATTATTATTATTATTATTATTATTATTATTATTATTATTATTGAGTGTACCAAACTCATCGCCGTGACAAGTCTGGTCCAATACAATTACAATATCGCGGGCGTCCTGATAGCAAAGAATTTAGAGATCCGCCATGCAACATTAACATCGTTTAAGTCAATAATAATTATAGTATCCTTGTGTATACCTACGACGTATAAAACACGTTTTCAATTATTATTCGGTGAGACAATTAAAAACGGGTTTTTTTTTCCAGTTTGTTATCGTTGGTGCTTTTTTTTTTTTACGTAAGTACCTACTTACACACGGACCGTTGTAAAAAATACACAAATGTTAACTACTCTACCGACGATCGCGATGACGTAGGTACTCGTGTACGCGTCAAGGTTCGCTTGTGTATTATACGCTTTGAAATTATTATTGTAACAATAATATTATGAAAATAATATGATGTCCCACCCCGCTTTTTATATCTGTTTTTGTTGTTGGTCTTCACGTCGGCAGCAGTGCAACACCCGGGTGCAGTACACAAATAATTGGTATTATATTATTATCGCACCTCTATTATAAATATTATAATACTTTTTGTTTCGAGTGCACGTCGTTTTTTTTTTTTTATACCTATAACCCTGCGCCGTGCGAAATACTTTAATTATTTACGACAGACGTCCTTAAACGAAAATATCGCCTTTTTCATACATATTATTATCATAAATTAAAATACGTTATACGCCGCAGTTACCAGGGTGAAAACGAAAAAATAAGGGAAAACACGAAAATCCAACGGCTAACGTGACCTAATTCAACAGCATCCTGCTACCAATTAATAATAAATTATGATAATTTTTCATACTTCGCTCCCCGCGAATAGGTGCGATAATAACCGAGGTTTATACCGCGGTATAAAACCTCGTAATAAATGCGCTTAAAACCCCGAAAAACCCCGGACCTTAAAAATATTATTTTTTAAATAAATACAGATGGATTAGGATATATTATACAAGTTAATGACAACGACTTTCGTCGACGGAGCAGTTTTCATCGGTAAATTAACATATTTTAATTGCAAGTAAGAACAGTAGGTACACAAAAATAATAAATAGATACGAAAACGATAATTTGAAAATGTCAGACCGTTTAAGATAAAAGTTTCAAAATCGATTATAAGTATCCGCTCATTAATATTATTGTAAAATTACGTTACAAAAAGCAGAAAAAAATGCACAGCTTTATTATTATTGTGCCGATAACTTTAGATATTAAATTATATTTTATTTGCTACTGTGCCTCGAAATCGTTTTGATTGAGCCCTTTATTAAATTGTGCTTTTTTGTACCCATTTGCCAGTTGTGTAATTGTAATTCTTGTGACGTCGTGTATGGCAAATGTCGCCTTTATTATTATCGTTTTACAGATTGTCCACAAGAAGTTCATAGGCGTTTCATCGCTGACCGGTAAAACCGCTCGCACAGACAACCACCTGTATACACACCTCGACACACGCCTCGCCTACCACTACAATATTTCACATCGTTTCCGCCAAAAAAATACATTTTTGGTTCCTCCGACTATAATATTGGTTCTGTCAAAATTAAAAAAAAAATTATTTGGTTTTCGTTTGCACAAAATCATATTTTTCTCTTGAAATTACCATCATCGCTCGAGAACAACACTTATTCCAACCTTATTCTGATTTTATGGTATTCTGAAAATAAAAATAAATAGTTACCTTTACAGCGTGGTAAAATTTCAGTGATATAGTTTATGTAGAAGGACAAAAAATTGCCCCTGCAGTTGTTCCGAGCACATTTTAACGAACAGTTCTACAAATCACGTTCTAATATTAATAATATATTTTTAAACAATATTTAATTTTAAATGTTTAAATAAAATAAAGTTCTGAAAAAGATAAAATATTCAAAACTGATTAATAATTAAAACGTATAACATACTGTTATGACAAAGTACTTTTGAAACAAAAAATATTGATTGTATGGAATATTTGAAAACCGCCTATATATATGCCTGGACAGAAACGAAAATCAAATTATTTTTTTTATTAATTGGTAGAGACGAAAATTGTTGTTTTGGCGGAAACTCAAAACTCCCTCGACAATTGATAATTAATGACTATTTTATTGCCCATACTTGGGCGCATTCACACTTATTTGAATAAACCAACAAACTCGTTTCTCGGGGAAAATGTTGTGATACCCCACCATAGAAGTTCACAGTTTCCCCTTTGAGAAAGTTCTGGAAAGCATCATCAGACATAGGACTCACTTATGTATATACTTACTTTACCAAACTAGACACGTCGTTCGTGGTTTATGAATACTATGATGCCAATTCTATCTTTATGAAATGCCCTCCGTTTCTCAAGTTTGTGCCCTCTTTTCGTCATTACCAACATGGCGACGAAATTCTTGCGGTGACGAAATTAATATTTATACGTCACCGACAAAGTCTGATAGCTATGTTCTACTAGTTGACGATACGGCATATATTAATCGTACTCTGAAAATACTGAAAATATAATTTTGTCCTGGATTTTTCTAACTACGTTTTGTACGACCCCAGATGTACAAATCATGAAAGTATAAAAGCTGATTATTGAGTATTTCATAACAGAAAACTTGTATGGTTTTTTTTTTTTAAATTCATGATGAAGCTTGCAACAAAAGATGAGATTATATGGTTACATAATAAAGTAAAACAATAGTTCCTTAACTTAATTTGTTTTTATTTACAATAACTAATATAATAGGTCCTTAAACTAGGTTGTACATATCAATTTGTTTTAGAAATAATAATTTTTTTTCATAAATAATTTAAACAAATATCAGTAGTTCAGAAGTTTCCTATGGATCAATTAGCTTTCACAGTCATGATTTGTACAAATCCTAAGTTGTAGATAAAGGTTTTAGAAAGAGCTTGGATAAAATAATTTGCTCTTCAGCGATTTTTCGGAGTGCGATTAGAAATATATTCCAAGCAACAACTGTTCAAACCTAGCTATACCCTGCATAGTGATCGGGATTTACCTGCGACACGAAAATTATAATGTCTCTCCACTCATCCAATTTATATTCTCCGACATATTAATCATAGCACACCACCGTAGAACACTCTAAAATATGCTAAAAAATTGTAAGCGAATAAATGGCGTGCCCACCTGTTCAAGGACTAGGATTACGTATAATAATTTAGTTGTATAGCCGCGAGTTTATGAACGATACAATTTTTCGAAAATAAGATCGTCCGACCACCTGTTTGCGAACCTTACGAGAAATGCGCATTTTTAACGCAATCGCATGACGATTCCGCCCTCGATTATGATACATATAGGTACAAAAATTACACACGATTTACACTGAGTATATATGAGCGAACCGGACAATGTCTTCGGAGCAGGAAATACGAGGAATTAATGAAGATAGAACATATTTTGATTCCTCGTGTGTCCTGATTCGGGTGTTTTTCGGTTCGTCACGCACATACAAATACCACCCGTTCCACCACCTGTTTACAACTTTTATCGTTGTTGTTATCATTTTAGTCGTCACTGATGAGTGAACCGTGCAAATAAATGATACCTATTGAACACATGCATAATCGTTTCTATCTTTAGGTTCAGTAAGTCGGTGAAAAGGAGTGATCATTCGGGAACCGACGATAAGAACGAGGGTCAATGGTGAGTCTAAATGTAGCACGGGTGTCGGTATCAGGGTTCGTAAACACAGTTAGTTTTGCATACGTACATATTATTATCATATAATATCGGTGTCCGATCGGAATTTTCTTGTTTTGTCTTGTCTTGTGTCAACAATTTTTTTCTATCGCCTCACTAATATATAACATACTCACCGTCACATTAATATTATATGTACATATAATATAATATATAATATGCATTGCGTATACTAGTTTCTTTACAAATCATTTACTACATACTAACACCAACAATTATATGTTTCGTACATATAATACACAAGCCGGTGACCCATTTAAAGTTAAACACTCATTTTCTCAAAAACATCTGTTCTCTTAACATTTACGTTAATTTTTTTACTTTTTTTTTTTTTAATGACAACGTACATTTTTAATATCGCATTCATAAGCAGAATATTTTTCTGAAAATTTCAATCTACGAAAATCCGATTTCTAACGTGTAGGTAGTTAATTATTCATAACCATTTATAACGACTAAAGTACAGTGAAATAGAAATGTCGGTTCACTGCTCGTCTAAACTTTTATTACTCAGAACTGCCAATCTAAAATTCGATATTTATTAGTTAAAATAAACAGAAAATCGTCCATTAGAATACGAATTAAAAATGTACGCTTTCGTTGGAAAAATTAGAAAACCTGCAGACTGCAATAATCATGTATAAAAGTACATTTTTTTTCCAAAACTATTTTTTTTTAATGACTTCATTGTATGGGAAAATTATATTTCCTAAAGCGTTAATGATTTTCGATTAAATGAGTTTTCAGCATTAACTGAGTCACCATGTATTATGCTAAAATATTATCATATACCTACGATTGTGTGCAATGCGATGTCATTTATCCAACACTGAACACAATACATTTTATACTATAATAGATATTATGTGTATCTTCTCTTCAGTCGATTTATTTTTCGCTCATTTCAAACAAAATACTTAAAATTTAAAAACCCACTGCGTTGGGTACCAAATTGTTTATACGTAATCAAAACCGAATCGTCATCACAACGATATCTCAAAGAATTTCATTTTTAAAACTACGATAGTTATTTTCAATCGTACAAAACATATTAAGCACGATAATTGTCCTTCAAATGTATATATACGTTCGAGTATCGAACGGTCAGCTATCACATTTATGATAATTTCTACGGGACGAAACGGTGGTCCATGTATTAATCCATGGTTTTATAGATAACGATAAAAACTTGAAATCATATGTCAGGCAATATCACGCAAAGAAATATCGAAACAACCTGCGGATGAGCACCGTTTGAGGACCGGTCGCGAAGACATCCAACCCCTAAAATCTCAATTAGATTGAGTGATTTCCAGCGTTAAAGAAAATAATCGCATTGCACAATAATTACTCACGAGTGTAATATATTATAATCCACACATAAGTCGTAGGCGTGCGATATTAATATTTTGGCATAATATCGCTATAATAAAATCGCTAGACCACGAGCAACGCATTGTTGTAATTAGTGTTGTTAAGGATCGCATGAGGTTATGGACTAATCAACCCACACGAATGACCGACAGTAATAATAACATCACTGTCTGCGTTCAATGCAATATGCAAATTGCGTGCCGGTACATTTAGCGTACTTCATACTGTCACATTGTTGTTATTATATTGTACCTAACCAACGTAAATCATCGAGAATGACTAATATTCGCCACCTCTTGTCGTACCCGCGCCCTATCCGCGACGAGTACAATAATTATACCACGTTTATACCTTCCTATACCTACACTCTGTTTCACCACGTTTTATGCGTTCCACCTCATCCACACCTACCTTATAACCACCCTATACCACCGTTTTACAGTGATGTGTAGTTATCGTCTGTAGACTTGCCCGAGTGTACCCTCGCGATGACGACAAAATTACAAAAATATCTTGTCGCGAGTGTTGAATACGTCATCATAATGTAAAATAATCAACTGCATGCCCCGAACAATAATATTTTTTTTACAGTCGCCTCGTTTGTGCGGGTCGGCCAGACCTATATCGGATGAGCTATCAGTGGCGGAACGACGAGGATTATAGTTCTGCGGTCAGCCCGTAACTGAGTTGTTTTTTTTTTTTTTTTTTTTTTTTTTTTTTTTTTTTTATCGAATGAGTCGTGGGTGGCTGGGTGAGGGAACTGCAGGTGTACTAGATTCTGTCGACTTAAATGTTCCAGCAAAAGGAGTAACATTATAGCGTGCTTTATTTATGTAACATGATAAAATACCTGTATAAAATAAGGGTTCCTTTACATCAACACCTGAGTGAGTGGGCGATGGGTGGGCCAAGCTTGCGTCGCCACTGATACGCGTAAGCTAAAATGCCGAAGAACATTTTTGAAAAAAAACGTGTTTTTATATTTTACATTTTCTTACAACCGTGGTACATCATACTTCATCGCTTTCCTGCGTAAATTTACCTGAGAAATGCAACGAAGGTAAAATAAATATGATACAGTTATTTTTTTTTTTTAATAGCATATCTTAGGTAATTTTTAGGTATATATATTTTTACGATTTGTAGTATATTGGTATAAGTTATAATGACTTGACTCACAAGCAAGAACGCCGTAAGTAATAATCTTATTTAATTATTTTATAATATAATAATTTTACTGTATCATTATACATTTTGTTGTTATTAATTTACAAATATTTGTAAATGTCATATTATTAAGGACTAAGCTAAAATGCCAGGACCTTCTAAAATATTAACTGCCCGTTTTTTCGATGCTATTCGGCGCTTATAAACGTTTAAACTTTAAACGTTGCCTATAATATTGTTTTTGTTGAGCAATATATTTTAGACTTACGATTGCATGTTTACCTTAAACGAGCTGGAATTTTTTCTAATTGACTTTACCTCAATTTCACATTTTTCTTTCTTCGTCGGAATTTCAGCTCAGCAGGACATAATATCATAATAACACACACGTATATATACATATATATATATACGATGGTTGCGATGTTTGCACAACGCACCCGGCTGGCGGCGGAGGATAGGACCTCTGTAATATTAAATTTAATAGAGCCCGTCCGTCGGTCCTTTTGCCTGCTGCCATTCGGTTTATCAATAATATTATTATCATTTTCGCATGCTCTGCTCGCTGTGTGCAGTGCTCCAATGCACCCATTGTAATCCCGTGCATGAAATCCGATTAACGCACACGTGCAGCCGGAAGTCGGACGACAGAGCTGTAGTCGGACCGACCAGTCTGGACGAGATATTGTTATAATTTTAATAAATTAACCAGAGTGTATATGGTCCTAATTACCTAAGTGCATTTGTACACGTACAGTTCATATTGTGTGTGCGTGTGTGAGAGTGCATTTACATTGTTGAGGCATGGGTACAACCACAACCTCACTGCCAGACATTTTAAGCAGTGTTTTAATTGTGACCATCTTTTGATTAAGTTTAAATCATTTATAATGACATCGTGATGTTTTTTCGTATTTTAATCAACATTCAACAAATAAAATAGTATGCCTTGCTGTGTATTTATATAGTATATACACACGATTCAGTACAATTATTTTGTAATCAATTCTCTGCCATTAGTAAACTATTACATCCACACCAATTAAACATTCCTATAAACACAACACTGGAATGTGTCTTGTAACGTAAGGTGGAGTTTCGAAAGGGATAAATATAACTGCAAAGTATACTCTACACTCTACAGTTATAAAAATTTGTTTAATACAATATCTGTTAGTAATATTTTTTTTTTTTTAAGGCGCCCTCGTTTAATTTATAAACCATTATCTCTTGCTGTTCGGGCCGGGAACGTACAATAATAGTGCGCGACGCCCGGTCACCAACATACGTCGCGCGTTATGCCTTATGCACGATACACTGCTCTCACCAACCGACCTGTGTTGTGTGTGTTGTGTATGTATAGCGACTCAAAGGAAGTGGACGGTTTCGCCGAGCAAGACCAGAGAGTGCTAGTGTGTGTGGATGTGTGAGTGTGTATAATATGTAAGTGTGTGCTTAATAATACTAATAAATGTTAACACCACGAATTTATGGTATTGTAACAAGTATGATATAATAGATTTTAATAATACACAATACTATAATAATAATAATACTACAGCAACACAACTGTATAAAATATAAAAACTCTATAATACAAACATATAAAATTGCTTATGACCCTTTTGGCCCAACAGACACAAAATAATATTAGTAATATAATATAATATAAATTTGAGCCGCTAAGAGAAATATAAATTATGGCTAAATTGTATAATAAATGATTAGCTATTTGAACTGCTATATAAATAATATAATAATAATTCAAAACTTACAATTTGTGGAGCGCAGACTGGCCAGCTGGTCCTAGCTATTTAATAAAATAAAATTTCACACACATACTAAATAGAAATAATAAAACAATAATAATAATTTACGTGTGGCGATTTGCGCCGACTTTAAACAGTATAATATTTATATACATCTCGCTCCGTTATCGCCGTAGTGCGCTCATTAGTGTATACTATCGATCGTTTCCAAATAACATATTTAATATACAACGTCAAATTTAAATTAATACCAAAAAATTATACAGTATTTTTTAATCACAATAAAATGGAAAAAAAACTTGATGATCTTATAAAAACTGTTACTGAACTCAAAACATCGAATGGAAAAATTATTTCATCTTTAAATTCACAAAATGAAAAATACAACCGAATAGAAAAAAGACTTGATGATTTGTTTAGAAATTTCACTATTCTAATGGAGGAAAATCGCGATCTCAAATTAAAAATTACGAATATTGAAGAANAACCTGTAGACTGCAATAATCATGTATAAAAGTACATTTTTTTTCCAAAACTATTTTTTTTTAATGACTTCATTGTATGGGAAAATTATATTTCCTAAAGCGTTAATGATTTTCGATTAAATGAGTTTTCAGCATTAACTGAGTCACC